ATTTGCAAAGTGTCTTAGACCATAAAAGGCAAAAAAAAAAAAAAAAAGGAAATAAATATAAAGACACCCAAAATACATGTAATCCATCCTTCCTAATAAGAGGGTCAAATATATCTAACAAAGGTGCGTAAGGCTTCCTAACCATATGTGAGATAGCCTTCTCACTAGTGGTTCAACCTTGTTACCTAATTATTCTCTTCTTGACATTAAGAAGTATACATTGATTAAGTAACTAGTTCCCTCTAATGAAACTTATTCTGGAAATATGAAACACTATATCTTTTTATTTATAGTCTTTTGGCGAAGTTGATTATCTTATGCTATTAGATAAGTTGCCAACTCTCAATGAGGCTAAACCTACACTTATATCTTTGGAACATCTCAAGGTCCTCAATCTTGAGGATGATCTACTAAATCTTAAATAAGTACATATTAACATCACTCTTCTTTCCGTTGATGACAGAGTAAAGATGATTGAGCTACTTAGAAAATATAAAGATATTTTGTATGAAATTATGATGAAATGTAAGGGGTTTAATGTAACTTGTAACATCCCCTTTTGGTAAACCTTTTTAGTTTATCAAGTAGGGAAATGTACTGCACAAGATAAAAAAATAGTAATAAATATCTATAAAAAAAGATCGCAGCGGAAGTAAAAACTCTTCTAATATAAAATGTTTCCTTATGAGAAAGACCTGCTTTCAAATCAATTTAAGACTTTGTAGAAAGAAAATCAATTATTTGTAAAGGAAAATTAATTTAATGGAAAATATCAAAAATACCAAAGTCATAAAATAAACTAGGCTAAGTCCATTTTAATTGATTTAAATATTATATATAAAAGCAATTTACACAAAAAATACATAAGAGCAAATGCTTTTTTAAAACTTTCCAAAATAATAAAAGCAAAATCATCGTTTTGGTAACACATTAATTTGCCTTTGCATCAAAAGTTCTAAGGTCCTAACTTTTACGTATAAGGAGCATATGGGACCCATATCGAAAGCTCTCAAGTTGAGTGGCTACTACTCCACCCTACTAACCTAAAATGGGGGGGGGATATTATGAGCTAAAAGCCCAGTAAGTATTAAATTAAAGCTACAAACTTGGGTCCTAACACCTTAGACCTGTACACATAAAGGGTAGAAGACACAATTGAATCAAGTCATATAATATTATTGTCACGCCCCATAACCCAAATCCGGGGACGTGGCAGACGCCGTACACTCGTGAGACGGGTCCCACAAGTGCACAAGGCTCGGAACTTATCATATCACACTCTGATACCACCAAAATCTGAAGATCAAATTATAAGATTTCTCCGATCATAAATCTCCAATAAAATCTCCAAATACACTCTAGCTTATAAGATCATGATTTATATCTAAATCTATGTTCAATTTACAAGTGGCTAGCCTTCTAACTCGTCACTTCCCGTGGTTTCCCCGTCCTCGGTTTCACTTCCTGAAATGGTGGACAAGGAAAAACTATGAGATAAACTCAATAAGTAAAATATGGAGTGCCCCTTATCAAACTTAAAGCATGCCAACAAGTACAATCACGAAAACAGATACAGTACGGGCACGAAATAGACGTCTCCTCTATAGGTCATGGCCAGTTCCCACTGGCAGGCAAA